TCTTTCCTCCTATCACTTTTCTCACTATTTGCTCTGTTAGATACCTCCCTTGTTACCACTTAATATTTCAATATTTGTTGATGTAAACTTTCTGTGGAAATGTTTTTGAAATGCTCAAAGTAGTGATGCCCACTGGTTTCCTTGGGTTCACATATTAAAATGAAATTCTGCCATTGAGTCAACTCGGACCCTTAGAGACCTAAGGGATAGAGGAGAACTGTGCCCAGAATTTCCAAAGCTGGAAATGTTACTGGAAGCAGACAGCCACATCATTATGTTTCAGAATCGTTAATGGGCTTAACTTGCCGACTTTTATGGTTAGTAGCTGAGTGTTGAACCACTGGGCAAGCAGGGTTCCTTTGTTCATATACATATGCATATAAATGAATCAGGAATCATTATTCTTTTTATTCAACTGAACTCTCAAATTATATTTCGTTTCCTATATGTCTTTGTGTAAGTTAAAAGAAATACACCAATGAACCCACAAATTTATTACCTAGAGGAATTATAGTTGGAGAGACATTAAACAAATTAAATATTTGCAATGCAAATGTATACCCTTTGTTTTAATTTATAAATATTCTATGAGATTATCAGTCCAGATTAAATGTTATAAACCCACTACAGCTTGTGTTTCCCATAAGTTATATCCAAACCCCCTGAAAAATAAATACAAAACATAGCTACCCAATGTAGCCAAAAGTAATGAAAATCCGGTGTTTGCAAAAGAGCATCAAAATTTGATATGAACACCCTAAGGAGGGTAGCTTCTTAGGTTCCCCATCCCCCCACCTCTTTTCCATCGAGACTTTCACGAGTACAGACTCCAGATGTAGATCTACAGTTTTTATGACAAAGAGAAAAATCTCCACAACGAGAAACAGGATGACCAGGGAACTGTGAAAGATGATGTCTGTAAGCCAGTGATGATGTGTGTGAGATAGCTTTGCTCTTTTCTTTCTTTTACTCTGTCTTCTCCTAGGGTGGCCTCAATTGTAGAGCTAGGAAAATCCCATTATTCTAAACTAAGAGTCAGTTACGTTTTGAGACAGAAGAGCCAATCCTGTCCCTCACAACAATTTAAAAATGATTCAAGAGCCAAAATTATTTTTTTGCAAACAAATGAAATCATTTTCTGAATAATATCTTTTAAAAGAAACCATGATCATTTCATTTTCATTATCAAAGTAAAATGTCATGAATGTAATATTTTCATTTTATTTTAGAGCCACATGTATGTACTGAAAGAGCCATGTATGGCTCTCAAGCTGCAGTTTGCCAAGCCCTGCTGTAGACAAAGACACTGAAGAGAATCCATGTCATATGATGAGTACATGAGGATTCTTAGCAAAGAGAGAGTTTGGGAAAGGAATTTGTTTCTCCATTGGTGTGTCAATTCACACATAGGATTGGTCTCTTAGTTCCTCACGCATGAACCAGATTCAAAGATTGAACTCTAGAACTAGAGTATAGAACTCAGATTTATTGATGAATATCCCATGAATGGGATGTACCATCTTAAGGCATGTGAGAGATATAAACACTGATAATCTGTAGTGCCCTTGCCCCTGCTTACTCATACCTTCAGCGGGATATATATGTGTGTGCTTGTGTGTATATATGTGTGTGCCTATAAGTATAGATACACATACAAATCCCATTGAATGTGTCTATGTATATACATACATAAATGCACATATATTTATATATGTATACACACATATGCATACATACACACCCACGTATGAAGGAGCTTAAAAGGTTCTTGGAAAAGTAGAATTTAAAGAGAATGGATTTTTTCCACAAGCTTTTCAAGTACCTTCATATACACATATGTGTGACTTAATTATCCATTATGTTCCTTTATTCATCAAGTTACTTTTTTTTTAACCTGAGTGTTGGTTTTTATTTTATTTATTTTTTAATCATTTTATTGGGGGCTCATACAATGCTTATCACAATCCATAAATACATCCATTGTGTCAAGCACATCTGTGCATATGTTGCCATCATCATTCTCAAATCATTTGCTTTCTACTTGAGCCCTTGGTATCAGCTCCTCATTTTTTCCCCTCTCTCCCGCTCCACCCTCCTTCATGCTGGTGGTCCTGTATATATGTACAGCCACTGTGATAAGCGAGCTGGCGATACTTATAAAAGATGGAAACTGAGCCACCTTATGACCCAGCTATCCTTCTATGGGTATATACCGAGAAGAGGTCAGAAATGAACCATGACCAGTTGTACGCACTCCAATGTTTATTGCAGCACAATTCACAATCACAAAGAGTTGGGAACAATCTAAATCTCCATGGGATTAGATGAGTGGATCAGTAAACTCTGGTACATACACACAATGGAGAACTATTCATAACTAAAAAGCACTGATGAGCACATGAAGCACGTCTTTTCATGGGAAGAGTTGGAGGAAATTATGCTGGGCTAAGGCAGCCAATCACAAAAGGAGAAGTACAGCATGAGTCCCCTGAAGTAAGTGTTATCAGCACCATAGGTATAGAAGAGAAGCCACCTACATTGGGGACAGGGCATGGTGCCCCA